CTAGGTTTAATTGAAATAAGGGAGCATCATGTGAATCTCATTTCTTCTGTAGACACACAAAACAAATATCAGCTGGAAAGTGACATTTGTGTCTGGCTGCACTGTGAGATAAAAATCTATTGAAGGATTTCCATGCTTTGGAATTATTGCAATTTGGACTGGCATAAATAATCTTTAGGAAATGAAACAAATACTATCTACACTCAAAAATATGTAGCTGAAAGCATATAAAATACATTGCACAGGACAAATAAATTATGTTTTATCATTTTATATATTTAATTTGTCCCACATGATATGGAACAGATTAATGTTGGATAATTCCATCATTGACATAAAATCAGGAATTGTAATTTGTGTTCATACTATCCTTTTTATGATTAGTTTATCTATCTGGCTTTTCATTGAATATTTTCCCAAATACATATTTTTTTAATAGCCATACCCGATACAGATTAGCGCGCTATTTATAAACGGAATAGATAGTAACTAAAACACTCCTGGGCAAGGGACCTATCGGCTGCTTAGGTTATTCATTTGAAAATAAAATAAATATCTTCGATCTATTTACAAAAGGGAAGTTAAATATTTTTTTCTGAAATGGGTGCAAACTCGTATCTTATTTTGTATAAATTGAGGTACATCAATTAGATTACATAATTAAACTTCCTAAGTTTTCTATAATAACCAGTTTGATGAGGGCCGGATATCAGGTCAAGCGTAAAGGTCAGCATAGGTCAACCTTTCTTAAATTAGACCCACCAAAAATATAAATATGCCTTAACGTTCATTCTTTTGCATCCTGCAAAATAAATTTCAAATAAGTTGAATTTTGAAAAAATCCCAACAATGTTTTGGGAAAATTTACAGTAGCCGATTTGAATCACAGTAAACGTGACTCATGTTGCCTAATTATAGGATTTTCCTCTTTGTAAATGTGCTATATTTATGAAGCGAGTTCGAAAAGCGAACCATTTACAGCTTCTGTCTTTATGGTACTTTGATGAGATAGGACATAGCTGGTTAAAAATATTCACATGCGATGCATTCTATTTGATCTAACGGTCAACTATTGCGAAAGCTTGCAGCAAACTTGCCCGCAGAGCATAATTTATTTTGGAATCGTAAAGAGGTACTTTTATGTTTTGGACGTTTATAAATGTAAACAAGTGGCCAATGCCTCGCTCGAGACTTGATATTCACCGAGTTGCACCCCACTTTCTATACAGAATTAGCTCATGCAATTCATACTTTTTGGCTCTGTCTTTGTTTACATAAGTGTAGATTGCGTCGTCATGTGAATTGGGAGCCTCAGCCGGTTCAAACTCTTGCTGCTAAGACAAAAAGCATCGGCTTACGTTTTCATCAATCGAGACACGAGTACTCTGCGGATTTGGCCTAAATTCAATGAAGGCTTGTATACAACTTTGCAAGACAATTTTAAATTCTGCTCATACAACTGTTTGTGCCCAAGTACGGAAAAAGCTACTAAGTGACGTTTCCAATGCAATGCTTGAAATAAAGCAAACCTACAAATCCTCTTTTGCCAGAGGATCTCTATTTTTAACAATATGTATAAGCTCTTCTGTATGGTTCATAGTGGCGAGGATTGTCATTCTTGCCTAATTGAGCATGAAACAGGAGGTTTGAAGCCTAATGTCACAATTCTATGTGTGTCGCCCTTTTGATTTTTAGTGAATGGGTGAAAAAGACTGACTTCAGGACTGGCTATGCCTCGAGATTCATTAATCCATTCCTTCAAATGATTTAAGTCAAAATTCAATATTTACTTGTAGTTTGGAAACGTACTCACTTAGAATGTAAGTAGTGTCGTTAATTATAATGACAAATACATGTTTGTCCAATCGACAATCGCGCTGTAAAATATGATTCTGGAGAGTCTTTGGTCAACATGAAAGTCAGAATTGTACTGCAAAATTCTGTCGTCCGGTTTTTGATTTCGCTTTGGAGGATGATGAATTCGCCTTAACTGCTTTTTGGCGTCAAAAATCTGATCGGGTATGTTGACCTCGAAAATTCCCCACTTCGTTCGGCTGTAGTGTGAAATCCCTTCGCCCAGTCTGCCCTGAAAGCGCACCGGATCAAATAATACGAAATTACTAGGGGCGTCCTAGTGATCCAATTTTTCAGCACATTTTCAAGCAGACCGAAACTGACCATCTTCATGATCTCGGCGCTTCTTCGCGCAAACTCAAGCAGCTCTTTCGAGCCAGAGAAGACACCATGGAGACCAGTGGTCTGCGCAATAAATGTTCACTGCCATGCCTAACCGGTTGATGGAATAGTGAATTGATTTAATTTAATTTCCAACAAAGTCAAATTCTCGCCAATAATTGTGGTTGAAACAAGAGGGCTGGACTCGCCCACTTGATTACCACTGCCTTTGTGACCTTGCCATCTGTATCCCTATTCCCTGTTTAATTTTATGTCATCGTTGCTACCTCCCTCTGGATGCTCTCTCCTCCTTTCACTGGGCTTCTTCACTTTCTTTTCTCGTGCTGGTGAGCCCAGGGTGACTCACATAAGACTGGGTTGGAGATGGGTATTTCTGTTGGCGCTTCTTCTTCTCCACTCGACTGCTTGAGACGTTGGTGAAAAGTGATGTTTCTTTCTGGTTGGCGTCCGTTCGGATTAAGCAGAGTCGCTCTTTTAATTAAGTAAATCGTTAAAAGCCTACCGTTGACGGGTCAGTCTCATCAAACTGCAATTAGATACTGGCCAAAGAGGTGCGCTAACCTTCGTCCTGCCGGACAAACTTGACCCCGACTTGAAGGAGTACTGCCTCACGCTTGGGATGTCGTCCAACCTGAAAGTTTTGTTATTAATCGCCGACCCCAAGACTGGCTTAACCCACTCGCCAGAATGGGCTTATCGTTTTGTCCCTGCCACAAGCCTGCTGGTCGGTCACTTCGACAGGTCATTTTGAAGCGGTTGCTAGGACCTGGGATGTACAGAAACTGTCGACACACGCTACAGGGACGATGAACCCCGACCTGAACCCCGTCCCTCGATAGTACCGTAAGTCGAATTGGGTACACTTTGATGATTCATTGAGCCGAAAAGGCAAAAGTCGGGTAGTCGAATTTTCACATTATCCTATGAGTAGTCCTCACACTACCATTGAATTTCACAAAACTTTTCGGACAGCAAGACTGTGTGAAATTCATATGATCGTGGCAATAGTCAATTATGCAATCAACCGGTAGTTTTGAGGCATACTTGACACGAATTGTAAGTTCTGCGTTTGAGTTTGTCGGCTCGTACAGACGAAGAGGATGCCAGAGAGGTGTGTGAAATTACGCTTCGAAAGCGAACTGGCATCTCGGTCACCAGCCAACTATGTAGAAGTAAAGCTTTGTTCAAGTGGTGGCCGCAGAGGTGAACCGGATGCCGACTGAACCGTTGCAAATCACATTTGTGGGGGAGATTTTGTCCAAACGCAGACGATTATTCCGTGGAATCACGATGTACTACTAATCGGCTGTCAGTAGTAGCTGTTTGCATTAATTGCGCTCTTGAACATTCTGCACTGCTTGAAGCGAGCCGGCCGGTTGAAGAAACGAATTTGTGGGTATCTGAAGTGCAAATAAAGTCATAAGCTTTAGATTTTATAATCGAAGATATAAAGACCAAGATGGTGTAGCCTTTTGTATTGTCGCAGTCTCCTTTCGTTGTATACCTTGTTTTTGCAACTTAGAGGAACGTACCTAGTCCGGAGACCATTGTATGCATCATCATTTCCAGAGTGGGACCGTGAACGTGGTACATTCCCAGACGTTTCGCCGATCCTATGACCAAACGGGTGCTAAGCATTTGTCGTGGCTCTCCTTCTGTCCTGAGTTATTCATCTATCCCACATCCTCCGATCACCCCTTCGGTATCACAATTTTGTTTTCCTTGCTTGCCTAAACGTTGTCCGTTGTGCCCTTTTGAGCGGCTTTCATGAGAACCATCCACACTCGAAGCTAGCATTCTCACCCCCCTTCACCCGTGTGGTGGGAATGTGGATCAGAGTGTGCCATATTGTTACGCAGTTATCACAGTCTCCCTCTTGCCCCTTAAGATCAGTCTGCTCTCTCCCTGGTTCAAGTATTCCACTCGAACCCTGCCTCACGATCTGTGCTCCACGAGCGGTTATTTTTCACACTCTGCGTCTGCTAGACTAACTTGAAGCAAAAGACCCCGAGTAATTGTCGTGCTCAAGCCTGTGCTTCATCTACCAAGTCTATAGTGAAACAGACCTACTGTCAGCCAACTAGCTCTAGTCTCCGCCGCGTCTATCCTGTTTCCAACTCTAATACCAAGTCCATGACTTGCTATACCCTAGTCTCTTGTATACCAACTCACAAATGTTGTAGTGCTGCTTGCTTTGATCAGGTTCAAGGCCTAACTACCACGTTTGTGGGTTGGCACACAAGAGACTAGGGCGTAGGAAGTAATAGATTTGGCATTACGGATAGAAACAGGACAGATGCTGTTGGGGCTGGAGCCTCCGGTCTCTGATCAAACTCGTCTATTGTTGGCCAAATAGCTCTAGTCGACCCCGCGTCTATCCACCTCTATCCCCAGTGGGTTAAGAGGCAAACTCGAGTGCCTAACAGTAAATTATGTGTCTCAATAAAAGGGGTAGTCTGAAAAGCCGTGCCTACTTTTTACCCCAACGAAGATAGGAATGATATGTTTTCCTCTGTCCCCATGCTTCTACGGTACGAATTCCCCTGGGGCTGATAAAGAGAGGATTAAGTGAGGTCGAAACCTCAGGTCAATTTGCAGTGACAACTTGATAAATTTTACATAAAAACACTTTGCAAATAAGTTTGGATATATATTGTTTGAAGTTAACACGTTTATATTTATACTTTGTATAAGTAATTTAAATCATTTTTTCAAATGAATAAAATATCAAGATACTGAGGCCATTGTAACTATTATATTTTTCTGTTTATTTGTTTATATGTATGAATAATGCATACTGGACAAAAGCGTATATTAAGTCTCCTGCCTAATTTACAAATAAACGCTGGTAAATATTTTAAATGTTCATTAGTGTATATTTATAACTTCTTCGAGTAGTTTAAATCACCATAAAAAGGAAAAAATATCGATATTATTAAAATAATTGTGATTATTTTATTTTTCGCTATTTACAAGTTTGTAGAAATATCGAATCGCATGAGCACAGCATTTCGATGCGAAACGTATTTTTATTCGTGATCGTCATCTTCGGAAAGTCATCTCCATATCAAGTGGGCCCAGCAACTCAGGGAATGTGTCAAGGCTTCATTTAGACGAAATGAGGCTCGATGACGATGCCCAAAATTGCCAATTTATACCAAATTGTATCCTAGGCTTAGACGATAGTCAACCATTTCTAGTTCTGGTCGGATGCACTGATGCCTCCTGCCTTAGAATAGCATTTACCCTATTGAGGGCTCCGTAAGCCAGGCTGAAGTGACTTTATATTATCTCAATGGCACACTTTAAGAGCTCGATGTTGCTCAACTTGGATCGGGACTTGGATAAGGTCCCGGTCGTCCCGGACAACACCGTCAATAGCGAGGACGGCAATATGCTATAAAGTGAAAATAATCGGTTGTCACGTCTTCACAAAAGGCACACCCCCAATTGAACCTAACGGTATGAATTAACTATTCAATCTTCCAGCTGAAATCAACTCGGCATTCTCTTGCAAATAAACAGGCCTACAAAAGTTAGAGAAGATTGACCTCATGTCATTATGCAATTCATTGTGTATACTCGTCTTCCTTGAAAAAAATTAGCTATCCAAGAAAGCGGAAGTCGGCTCACCCACCAACAACCAGGGATTAGCAATGGTTTGAGTGAGAGTAAATTTTCTGGAAAGATACGCTAAAAAGTGAGCACACATTCACAAGGAATGCAAGCCTTTTTAACTACAATACAGCTTGATTTGCATTTACAGTTCTTTGCTCTTCGTATATGCCTTGAAATCATGTACCAAGTTCGAATCGCCGACGATTCTGTCGAAACGTCTGGGAATGTACAACGTTCATGATGTGATGCCGAAAATTATCACGATTACCATGGCAGCGGAATTCAGACAAAGTGCGTTCAACTAGGTCTCCCAGCAACCAAGTTGTTATACATTTCATTTTTCTCTTAAATGTAAGTGGAACTGTTGACCTTGGATTTGCTCGAAGAATTGCTCGGCCCACTGTCATGTAAACCCGATCCATCCATACTGAACATTTGTCTGTTTCATCCTGACATACAGTGTCGGATTCAGAAGCCAACATGTACGGAAATGTACCAAAATGCTAAACCAAGAAGGATTGATTTACTCGTCTTTTCCACATGAATTATACTGTCGTGTTTTTCTCATTTGCTTAGAATTAACAAGACATTCAACAATGTATGAATTCCCCCCAATCAACTGTTTCTTCGAAATGGAAAGTCGAGTCACATTAACTTTGTAAGAGAGTCTTATAAAGCAGTTTTTATTCACATAAAGGACAGCGATAACCTTTTCAAATGTATGGGAAATGTCGCCATCCGACAAGTACCAAGAAGCCGTGATAGCTTGCTCACCTCTTTTTGTGGGTTCATGTTTACAACGGCGGACCTACATCCAATGGCGCCTCCGACCCACGCCACTCCTGCTAGTCGCCTAAGCGACAGTCTCATTCAGACTTTATGGGCGTCGAGTACGGTCGACCACCGCCAGTTGTGCTCACCCAAACCGAATTCACCCTTCCGATCTCGATTCCACTCAAAATAAAAATGTCGGTCCCCAAGAGAGCGAAAGTATAACTCCGATTTGTCGATGCTCTGGGAACTGGATGAAGGAGCGTCTTTTTACTCGCTTGTCCACTGGAGGCATGTGTCTATTGGGAGACTTCGAAAATGGTCTATTTGGCGACGTTGTCAAAAGGGACAAAGACCAACAAACAGTTGTCCTTTTTTGCGTGGCTGGTGGCACAAAATAAACGCTAAGCTGATCGTTTAGGCAAGTCTTTGCCAAAATCGGGCACCAAAGTCTGCGCCCCTGTCAACTCATCCAAAATTGCATTAATCCGGCTTGAAGACAGTTTATAAATAAGGTATTAAACGGTATTTTAATTACTTTTTCGCCTGCTCTGACGGCAAGATAGGCTGGAAAAATGTGTCCTTGATGCGATGTCAGCAACAACGAGACGAAGAGTAAGGCAAAGTTAGGGTAAGGTGGGGTGGGGAGGGATTGGTGGGTGGGTGGGAAAGTTTGTGTGAAGAGATATGAAGCGCAAGAATCCCACCACAAAACAGCGCTGCCATTTCCACGGCCGCCTTGGATGACAAAGAAGTTAATTCCTTTCTTTAGTAAAGCTGATGGCGGGAGGTCAGTCGTTGGTCTTGAAGAGATGACTTGTTAACGTGCACTGGAGTGACACGACGAATTCCTGGTTGCCATCTTATCTAACACACACTCACATGACCACTTGGTCGCATGTCTCAGAGGTCTATAGCCGACCGGGGTGTAGAGTGATTGCGTCATGGAGGCGACAACAATCGGAGTCATCGTTACCAAAGGATAGATACGACGTCATTTCATTTCCTGTTTAGTCATAATAGCATTAACTTGACCGCCGGAAGGCGCAATCAGTACCAACAGAAATCATGTATTTAGTAAACTGTCTTGAGTGCTTGTAGTGACAATAACATTAGTAAGTGGTCAAATTAATAGTTACAGTGATAAAGACGCTAACTGCAGGATAGAAGATACGGGTAGGGATCCCTGCAATCAAGTTTAACACATG